CCCCGCCGCCCCCCAGCGCGCCTGCGCACAGCGCCCCTGGCCCCGCCCACCCCGCGCGCCGCGCAACGGCCACGCCCACTCCTTCCTTCGCTCGCTCGCTCGCTCTCCCCCGCGGCGGCGCGGGTGACGTCACGACGGCGGCGACGCGGCTGGAGGGAGGGGCGGGTTTTGTTGACATGGCGCTTAAAGGGGACGCGCACCCGGCTCCCGCGGCCCTCACGGCTTCCAGCGCACCCAGTGCCTTGGACCAGTCCTCCCAGTGCCCGGGACCGCTGTCCCCAGTTCCTCGCACCAGTGCTCCCAGTTACCCCAGGCAGGGACAGGCTTCCGTGCCCCAGCAGCACCCACCACCAGTGCTCCCAGTGCCTCCAGTTCCCTGCGTGAGGGCTCCCAGTGCCTCCAGTGCCTGGTACCAGTGCTCCCAGTTACTCCAGTGCCCAGCACCAGTTACCCCAGTTCCCTGCACCAGTGCTCCCAGTTACCCCAGGCAGGGACAGGCCTCTGTGCCCCAGCAGCAACCCCCACCAGTGCTCCCAGTGCCTCCAGTGCCCAGCACCAGTAAGGGGACGCGCACCCGGCTCCCGCGGCCCTCACGGCTTCCAGCGCACCCAGTGCCTTGGACCAGTCCTCCCAGTGCCCGGGACCGCTGTCCCCAGTTCCTCGCACCAGTGCTCCCAGTTACCCCAGGCAGGGACAGGCTTCCGTGCCCCAGCAGCACCCACCACCAGTGCTCCCAGTGCCTCCAGTTCCCTGCATGAGGGCTCCCAGTGCCTCCAGTGCCTCCAGTGCCTCGTACCAGTGCTCCCAGTGCCTCCAGTGACCAGCACCAGTTACCCCGGTTCCCTGCACGAGGGCTCCCAGTTATCCCAGTTACCTGCATCAGTGCTCCCAGTGCCTCCAGTGCCTGGTACCAGTGCTCCCACTTACTCCAGTGCCCAGCACCAGTTACCCCAATTCCCTGTACCAGTGCTCCCAGTCACCCCAGTTCCCTGCATGATGGCTCCCAGTTACTCCAGTTCCCTGCACGAGGCCTCCCAGTGCTCCCAGCACCCAGCACCAGCGCACCCAGTGCCTTGGACCAGTCCTCCCAGTGCCCGGGACCGCTGTCCCCAGTTCCTCGCACCAGTGCTCCCAGTTACCCCAGGCAGGGACAGGCCTCTGTGCCCCAGCAGCAACCCCCACCAGTGCTCCCAGTGCCTCCAGTGCCCAGCACCAGTTACCCCAGTTCCCTGTACCAGTGCTCCCAGTTACCCCAGTTCCCTGCATGAGGGCTCCCAGTGCCTAGTACCAGTGCTCCCAGTGCTTCCAGTGCCCAGCACCAGTTACCCCAGTTCCCTGCACGAGGGCTCCCAGTGCCTCCAGTGCCTGGTACCAGTGCTCCTCCAGTTCCCTGCACGAGGGCTCCCAGTGCCTCCAGTGCTCAGCACCAGCTCACCCAGTGCCTTGAACTAGTCCTCCCAGTGCCTGGGACCACTGTCCCCAGTTCCCTGCACCAGTGCTCCCAGTTACCCCAGGCAGGGACAGGCCTCGTGCCCCAGCAGCCCCCCTCACCCCACACAGCCTCACCAGTGCCCAGTCCAGAGGCACCATCACTGCCCTGCTCCTGCTGGTCCTGACCCAGGATGCTGGTGGCCTCCTTGCCCACCTGGGCACACTGCTGGCTCCTGTTCAGCCCACAGGCCACCAACACCCCCAGGTCCTTCTCTGTTGGGCAGCTCCAGCTCAGCACCAGCTCACCCAGTGCCTTGAACTAGTCCTCCCAGTGCCTGGGACCACTGTCCCCAGTTCCCTGCACCAGTGCTCCCAGTTACCCCAGGCAGGGACAGGCCTCGTGCCCCAGCAGCCCCCCTCACCCCACACAGCCTCACCAGTGCCCAGTCCAGAGGCACCATCACTGCCCTGCTCCTGCTGGTCCTGACCCAGGATGCTGGTGGCCTCCTTGGCCACCTGGGCACACTGCTGGCTCCTGTTCAGCCCACAGTCCCCCAACACACCCATGTCCTTCCCTGTTGGGCAGCTCCAGCCACTCTGCCCCCAGCTTGGAGCGTCCATGGGGTTGGTGGGACCTACAGAACCTGGCATTTGGCCTTGATGAACCTCATCCCATTGGCCTGGGCCCATCCAACTTGTCCAGGTCCCTCTGGAGAGCCTTCCTACCCTCCAGCAGGTCAACATTCCCACCCAGTTTGGTGTCATCTGCAAGCTTACTGAGGGTGCACTTACTGATGCCATGCCATCGCCTTCCCCATGCCATGCCATGCCATGCCATGCCATGCCATCCCATCCCATGCCATGCCATGCCATCCCATTCCATCCCATCCCATCCCATTGCCTTCCCCATCCCATCCCATTCCATCCCATGCCTTTGCCTTCCCCATCTCATTCCATCTCATCCCATCCCATCCCATCCTATCCCATGCCATCACCTTCCCCATGCCATGCCATGCCATGCCATGCCATCCCATCCCATCCCCTCCTATCCTATCCCATGCCTCGCCTTCCCCATGCCATGTCGTGCCATGCCATGCCATCCCATCCATCCCATCCCATGCCATTACCTTCCCCATCCCATCTCATTCCATCTCATCCCATCCCATCCCATCCTATCCCATCCCATGCCATTGTCTTCCCCATGCCATGCCATCCCATCCAATCCCATGCCATGCCATCCCATCCCATTCCGTCCCATTCCATGCCATTGCCTTCCCCATCCCATCCCATCCCATCCCATGCCATTGCCTTCTCCATGCCATCCCATTCCATCCCATCCCATCCTATCCCATGTCATTGCCTATCCCATGCCATCCCATGCCATGCCATCGCCTTCCCCATCCCATCCCATCCCATCCCATGCCATTGCCTTCTCCATGCCATCCCATTCCATCCCATCCCATCCTATCCCATGTCATTGCCTATCCCATGCCATCCCATGCCATGCCATCGCC